TTCAACCGATTCATTTCTTATCTCATCTTATTGTTGTGTTACTTGGTATGCTAATATGAGGTATGGAAACTTAGACCGTTTAATAGTTATACCTGATCCTATGTTGACATTGATGAAGACACCCAGGTCTGAAACCTGTCTCGTTCTCTCTAGTTGAATGTTCTCCAATCCAACCTAGGCGTCCGATAACTATGAATCCACGGATCTTCGACACGATATTAGTCAAACTGATTCCCCATAATTGTTGCAAGAAGATTGCTCCCCCTTCCAATGGACTAGAATGATCACAAAAGCTGACCAGTCTGATGGCGGTACCTCTGATTCCTATGTACAACCTAAAACCTTCGTTATTTTACTCAGTAATTTCCTACTTCCATCCTTAAGAAATTCAGGTGATACGTCGTCAGTTCCTGCTCTTTGCCTCGTATCAGGTTCAAAACAGCTTTCTAAACTTCGAGGAAGGTTGGGGGACCGATATGTGCAAGTCCCATTCAGGGTTGACTTACATGCTGAGCAAGTGAAGCGTTGCTGAAGCCTAGTTAAACTGTGCTCCATCCACCTGCCCTGAGAGGTTATCAGTCCCATCCTTTTCGGTGACTGTTTCACTCAACATCTTCATGTCCGTATCCTTAATAAGCCTAAATATTTGCCTGCTATCGCCATCTCTCACGCTTTCATTTCCAATCACTGCTCGCGATCGTTAAGAAGAATCTTGGTCAGTTTACGTTTAAGATGCTTTCGTTTTTCATTGTGATCAGAGCAGGTTGAAATCAATATTATCATACCAATCAGTTTGGATGAAATTGTGAAAATCTATTGGCGTTTGTTACACTTTGGATGTTGGTTACCACAGTCTTTCTAAAGTAAACTCAAAATCAATTCAGGTTTCTTCAAGATGAGCATTGTTGTCACTTTTAGATAGGTGCCTAGCTATGGACTTCCTAAGTATTCACTTCACATTCTCATCTTCTAAGCAAGCACAGAAAGGCTGTACTGATGAGTAGTTTCTGCGACCAGTGAGGCGCAAACAAACACAAGTCCGTACTAGCGAATAACTATAAGCCAGACAGATACTTCCGAAAGAGCGCCAACCTTCTACCGGTCTTTCCCAACAATGGCATAACAATATCTATCTGTGTCCATTGTTGGTTTGATGTCAGCGGATGCCATGTGAGACAGTGTCTCTCCTTATGCTTGATGTTGGCGCTGACTAGAAACAAGTGATTGCCAGAAAAAAAGTTACAAGAGATGAGCACCGCTGTTAGTTTATTAGCATGTGATTCTGTAGATACCTCCAACATGCCTTTTTCCAACTGACCCAGCATTCGTTCTTGAGTATTAAAGTCAACAACCATTACTAGTTTTTCACATCTGTTCAGTGAAACAGCACACATTCGGCTACTGACCGGCATCCAGTCGAGAAGTTAGTTTTCTACACCACAGCTCAACGCTATACCTACATCAGTGAGTCTAAGAGAGCCATTAGGCCTCCGAATACTCGTATGGCGAATTTTGCAGAATCCCTACAACTGTCAGGCGGGGCTAACCTAACAACTATATTCGGGTGCCGTATACTTATCTCAAACACAGCGTACATCCATGACTAGAGATTCTAGAGTTCTGGTGGGCGATACCTGCTGTCCAGCTTGGCGTAGAGTTCGAATATTGAAAACCCCAATATGAAATTCGTACCGGGGTCTCAGGAGACTAGGAATGAAGATTAGAGTGGTTTGGTCGTTGGCGATGTTCGCAGATTGAGAGATTGATTAAGTTGTAAAAGGTTTGATATTGGTGTCAGGAGATGGAGGAAAAGGAGGAGACTGAGTTGAGATGGATAGGTTCTGTTCGATTGAGTCTTGTATAATACTGGAAGCGTGCTGGCAGTTGCCCACACTATGGAAGGCTATTTCCTCTTAAGATGCCTCAAAAAGAAGGGTTAGGGTGCGACCATAGAGCCAAAGAGACATCTGCTTGAGGCTTTACTGAAACTTCCAGACTGTTGCTTTTTAATCTATGAACCCAGGTCGCTGGCATCGGCATGCTGCAGAGCAGTGGGAAGTCTGCTATTTTTAGGGTCGAGTATTTCCGACCCGCCTTCAGACAGGGAAGACATCAGCAGCACAGCATTGCTGGTCATCCAGAGGAAACACTTTAGTGCTGTCACACTCACGTCCAGCCAGCAGTACGAATTCGCCTTCGGACTCCCAACATAGCGTAAAACTTAGCGCAATGAAAGCAACTGAATTCTTTCTAACCACTAACCAACTGACCTTTCAGGTATGGTAAAACCTTGACGGAACAAGTGTTCCACTAGCATGATTGACTGGGTCACTGTGGTATGCAAGGCCGACCACCACGTCAAGGTAGCAGCTATCAGTCGGGCATCCAGCTGCAGCAGCGCAATGATGAATTTTCTTCGGCTGGCATGATTTCGTGCCTTACCCAGGAGTCTGAAACAGCGACAGAAGTATGGATAACCAAACCATACATTTAATAACAACCCATTATGAAGAGATCGTCGCTCGATATGCTTAGCACACCTCCAAGTCACTTGAATAGATAGTTTATAACCTGATCAACAGATTTATCACAATTACCTGATCCCTCCGTTGCTCATAGGCTGATTGTGCAACAAGATAGGGGATTCTGACTACGATGGCAATGGTTATCGAATCGCAGAAGCATTCTAATATCTATCATCTTTCATTAACATGTTCCACAGTTATATAGCGGGATAGAGTATACTTCTATGGAGTACAGTCGATCTCTAATAAGCAATCAGATATCTATCTGTTAGGAGAAAATGTATGTCAATAAAACAGAAAGTAAAGACAACTACGGATTCAAACAATGTCCTGCTCAGGAACGCGGGGTTTCTCTGCATCTGTAAGTTAACAATATTGGATTGTAAGGATACTGGTACAAACATGTATTGAGGAAATAATTACGAAATACATAAAAAGGGATTGCGAGGTTCATTGGTCTAAACGATTGAGCGTGGTACAAACAGCAGTTACAAAAGTCAATAACCTGAACGTCTCCCAATTTATTCAAGCTACTAGTAGAAATAACTCGGCGTTGGTGAGACAGTTCAAGAAGTCGGTGGTTGTTAACTAATCAACAATTTTCAAATATGCATGAAAAAGTCGACATTTCATTGCAAAAAGTGGTTAGGTTATTCGTTGTGTCAGTAAGCTTGATCTGCGTCGAATGATCACTCAATACAGACCCACCTGATGAAATGATGGTTCATAAAGAATTTTGGGTATTAAAAGGAAATGAGACACTTGGCTATGAATGTCTGCAGCTAGAACCCAAGCACTGGTCAAAAAGTTAATCATCGAGAAGTCCTAGAGAAAGTACAGCACATATTTTCTGCAGGATAATGAAAACCAGAGAAGAATACAGTAATCTAGATTACTGCCGACCCTGTTATGATATTCTGCCTGTAAAATACTGGACTCACTACACTGACAGTGTTCAACCACTCTGGAGGTCAAATCACCCTTGTCTCTATATGGTTAACCAAATTTGATTATTCGGTTTGGTAGGTAGGCACTGTGGAGATAACTGTTCATTTATAAAAATCATCTTACAACATAAGCGAAGGTAGATTAGGGATATATAATAACTGTCACGTGAGAAAACTGATACTAATCATCATAATTATTAGCTTAAGGACTATTTGGAAGAAACAGATAGATGGTCAGTTTGTGCAGTGGTATCATTCAATGATGCTTCTGTTCGGTTGGTATCTGCTGGTGCCTCACTATTTTTTGTCCAAATGTTTTCGTATTCACATGACTGCCTCCAGGCACTGTCAAACACAAACCATTGTGTTGGTTAGTTAAAGATGATTAGTAGGGAGCCTTTAACATGAGTTTCGTACTTGCCGATACTCGTCAGAAGGGCGTAGCTGCAACCTAGAGGAGACAGGTATTCACTGAGACTCGGACCTACGTCACTTAGTGTTGCATTCAGCAACATTCCCGGTCATGAATGGCCTCCTGTGACTGATTGAGTGGAAAAAAATCAACGTACCTCCCACATACGTGAACCGGCTCAAGTTACCAAACCTCGCTGTAGTCTGAAAACAACAGGGTGAATGGAAAACGAGTGATATCAAAGTAGACAAACTTGTGTGAGAGAATAAGCGATTTGAAGATAAGGGTTAGTGTAAATGTTTGGGCGATAGATGCCAAGGACTAGAAACATCTGCACCACGGTCACCGATTTGCAGCTGTGTCACCAACAGTCTCCAACCACTGATTCCTTTCGTCTCGGGCACCTCAACCGAGCAATCTACATCTCTCCACAACGTTCAAAACAACAGTCAGGGACTTCATCGACCGGTGCCACATCTTGCTTTGACCACTCTGAACCCTCTTTCGACCTTATCCAACCTTCCCTAGCCATGGCACATCGAGGTGGATGGTGGGTCAGCATGCGTAGTACATGTCCAAGCCATCTCAGTCGACTGAGGTTCACAACCTCGTCAATCAACTTGCCTTTCTTGCCTAGTATCCTTCACCTGACGCCAACATGTCCTTCTAAGCTTCTAAGACATGTAAATAATGATATTACACCCCGTTGTATTTGTTAGTTTAAATGTTTATATGGTCACGTATATATAGGCAGGATTCGTCGATTATTAAAATTAAGGGTACTAGAACACATCCTAAAATGACTGAAAAAAACCCAGACTGAATTAACTGAATGCAAAAAAAACGTTTAAGCTCTTCTATTACGAAGCTTATTATTGAGACAAGACATAAATTAAATGTTTGTACATTTTTACAGTACATATTTAGGGTGTATCCTGAGATTTGTTTAGGCTTTAGCCATTAAAAAGTCTAATCCACCTATGTGTATTCGCAAACTGTTAGTTATTACATCAAACGTACTTTAAAACCACAGTCAACAAAGTATTATGTTTATCACTTTGATTTTCATCGTAATTATGGTCGTCAGATTCAGTTTTCTCATTTGACTTTTTCCACTTTCCCTTAAAGCTTCTATTGTTCGATATGCATTGTGCAAATGTATTACACGATTCTTATAAATTGTATCATCTGATAGTTTGCATACATTCCGTTCCCTACACACATTTGAACAAAACAAGAACAAACAGATTTGCAGAATAAAATGACGTTTTATTTTATTAATCAAGATAAATTAGAACTTATATGTGTGCTTAGATCTACAAGATTGATGAAGGACATGAATATTCAGAGACAGAGAGACAGACAAAATCAACGTAGAACCTCGCACACAGTTGCATCGACTCAAGTTGCCACACTTCACAAGAACAAGTGGATAGATAAAAGACCGATATCAAAGTAGACAAACTTGTATGAGAGAATAAACAATCTGAAAATAACGGTTATTGCGAATATTCAAGCTTTAAAATATGTTACGAAGTAATACATCTCGGTCACTCTGACCGGTTTTCAGCCATTCCACCAAGATTCCCCCATCACAAATTCCTTTCGTCTCGGGCACCTCAACCGAGCAATCTACATCTCTCCACAACGCTCAAAACAACAGTCAGGGACTTCATCGACCGGTGCCATATCTTGCTTTGACCACTCTGAACCCTCTTTCGACCTTATCCAACCTTCCCTAGCCATGGCACATCGAGGTGGATGGTGGGTCAGCATGCGTAGTACATGTCCAAGCCATCTCAGTCGACTGAGGTTCACAACCTCGTCAATCAACTTGCCTTTCTTGCCTAGTATCCTTCACCTGACGCCAACATTGCTCGCGTGGTGATTCCAGCAAAGGCGAGCAGTGATATAAAGATATCCGTGATCAAAACCCTGTAAACGTCTAATGTCCACTTCTAATGAGGGTCATATCTCACAGTCAGACAACAGGACAGAATGAACAGGAGCGCAGTGTACTCGTCTTTTAACAGGTAGTCGGATATCTCGCCAGTCGGCGTCACAGGTGACTTAAGTTGGCATATGCCGAAAAGCTGAGATTTCGTCACCAACTACCCTGTTCGGACTGATGCAACTCTTCAAGTCAGTGGAGTGGTCGATGATTAGTAGTCAATAGAGTAATAAATAATTAAACGCATAAAAACCTAGTTTTTTATTCGATATTTTTCTCAATTATCATAATTATTGAAAACATCTAATTTGTATACGTCACACAGCGAATAATCAAGCTCAAATAACCGGTTTATGACTGAAGTTGTAAGCATCAGCATATACTCTAGATGTCGTATGAGTGACAACCACGACGCATATAAGCATGTCCGTTTATATTCCAACTACATTAGTGTTAATATTATTTGACAGTTAAAAAAAGAGGGTAAAGTCAAAGTAGATATCTTCGACGTACAAAAAACAAAACAGACAAAATTTCATTACAAGAAAAAAATCAAAATAGTAACTCTAAAGTTGAAAATAGGAATAGAATGAAAGACTGTAAAAGATTATCATTCTGCAAAAAGACCAGTGTTTATGATTACCGTCGACTATAGTGTATTGTACTGGTGTCACGTAGCATTTTAGCAGCTGCCTCCGGCAATAAATCTCTTTGTGTTTCTGCCAATAATTCAAAACCGGACATAAACTTTTTCACTGCAGATGATCTCAACAAAGGAGGCAAATAAACTGCATGCAACTGCCAGTGTTTATACTTCACGTTTAAATCTTCGCATGACTCTTTATCAGAGGACATAGGTGCTTGATACCAACCCATAGAATACGGAAACTCTGTGGTGAATAAGTTGTCATAACGAACAAGTAACTCTTGCATTGCACTGGCAAGATCAAATCGTTCATCATCAGTTAACTCGTGCAACCAGAGAATATGACGTTTACGTGGTAAAATCATTGTTTCAAAAGGCCAACATGCCCACCATGGTACAAGTACAAGCCAATGATTTGAACGGATAATTATCCGTGAATTAGATGGATTGTTATTCATATTCGCTTCCTCTTGAAGAGCATAGTCAAGCAGCAAAGGAACATTATTATGTTGGACAGCATAATTCCGTTGATTTTTATCTCGTCGTGACGCCAATGATGGTATAAAATCGCATGCCCAAATCTGTGAGTAAAATAAGGAAAGTTAGCAAATACAGAATAACACTTTAGTGCATTCAGTGATAGTGACGAACATACCAGTTCGAAAATCTTTATTGAAAGAGATTGTATTTGTCATCAGTGAATATACAGTGAGTAAAATTTCAGAAAAAATAGACCAATTCGCCGCATAACATAACTTCAAGGAAATTAAATGGAAGGTGTAACCTACAGAAGTCAGGATGCCTGAAGGGTGTATGAACCTAAAACAGTCAGCGACAACCAATGGAATGTAGTAACTCAAGCTGGAGCGTAAAACCTTGTTCCACACCCCAAGAAAAAGTCACGGAAAGTGGACCCACTAAACAATCGGCTACCTCCCTCAACTCCACATCATAGCACACAAACAATAACTAAAGCAATAATAAAACAGAGGACCTCTATGCATTGCCGAAACCCCACTACAAAGACTGATATTTGTGAGCATAAACAGAACTCAATTATTCACTTTGTGACATCAATATCGTTATTTTAACACATGAACTAATTTGTATTAACACTATCATCTTCGTAATCTCCATTTATCTGCATTATTATCCCAAACATGTGACCATCACTCATTAAAATCTTCAACTGTCAGTAGTACCTTAATTTGCAAAACATAATGCTTTCAGAGTGCAGTCCTCCAGTGCGATATCTGTCTCAACTATCCCGAAAAACTTCACACTGTCTACGTACCAACTATTTCTCTTCGTTCACATCTTTATTTCACCCGGATGCTCATAAATGATTAGAATTCTTGTTTGTGTATACCTCTTTGAATCCCTAAACAACTGCTTCCAGAAAACTGTCCTCTGCCACGATATCTCACTCAACTATCCCAAAAAACTTCACACTGTCTAGGCTGCCTGCTTTCAACGTCCGAGCCTTCATACCGACAAGACAGAAGACAAGTTTAACCAGGACTCTGAAAAGCAGGGCTGTTCATACATTACTTACCTGACAGACCCACATTCAAGATCTCACTAAAGTGCTCCCAATAGCTTCTCCATCTGTCTTTGAAGTAGCATACTTAACGTGAGATTATGCAGAGAACCTGTGATTTCAACCGTTGTCACAAAAACAGCCACACCCGAAGTCTCTATAGACCAACCGATTTCCGCTAATAGTGTAACTTTTGCTGTTATACTAGAAGGTTCAATTTTATTAAGATTGTAACTGGCAACGAAAATGATGCCTACTTGTCATCATTCCTTTTTGGATATCGCTGGAGGTGAGTCCTTCTTTCTATCTCTTGAGAGACTTTCACTACAAGTGCACTTGTTAGACGCTGTAAGACTAGCTACCGAATTGAATACTTAGTTCGGGTGTCTAGGCTCTGAGGAGAGTTTCTTACGTGGCTGGTAAGTACATCTCGGTTAGTAAGGACTGTTTTCTGTAGCTTTGCGTAAATCCCAACATATTTCTAGCTGGTACTAACTTCTGGTACAACCAACGTCTTGTGATAACTGCTTCTCTAGCAAATGACTGAACTCATTATCACGCTTCTCTATGCACTACGATCACCTGGTGTTTTGGTGGTCATCAAAATAGTCGTCTCACACGGATCAACGTTTTTCAATTGTTGTCATCACTATTGCAATTCAATACAAAATCGAGTCACGTTCAAGACTACATAGTTACCTATCAGAATTTCAGGAAGTATGAATCAGCATTGGCTGCACTTAACAAGCATCATTAAATTGTAGGTGAAATTGGGTAAGTTTCTGAGGAACATCCTACTGATGAACACTCGGTCACTGTGAACTTCTCGCAACTTGACAATCGTCTGAGAGTCTGACACGCAGGCAGTGACTACAAGCGTGTGTGCAGGTCACTTACTTGACACAATGAACAGCATTCACATAAGGACTGAGGCGTATAATGGTCATAAGGTACGAGTGAAATAGAAACAACAGTTGGAGGTGGTAATACGTGTAAGCTGTTCCAGTTCATCCAAGACACCAGCATTAAGAAGTCTGGTGTCATCGAGATGGTCTGTGAAGTAGGCCATTCACAGAACAACAACCTTCGTAGATAAATAAATGTATGGTTGTCAGATAACTTCAGGAGGTAACTTAATTTACACACTGTTCCAGCAACGTCGACTTGATAATCGTAATCCTCATGGCTAGTTAACACAAGCATGGGACAACGAAGTGGGGATGCATAGTGAACTCTAAGGATCAAGGCATTTGACCAGGACAATTCACTCCTGGCCACTTGTAAGGATATGTGTGACACTATAGTCGGGCTACTCAACAGACTGTTTGAAAAGGTATAGCAATCCGAGTGTTCCATTACTCTGGAATGGAACCACAGAGTCAGTAAGTATGGCATGTGCTCCGCGTCGTCAAAGTGTAATGTGTTCCCACAAGATAGACGATTGTCTGTATCTGTACTCACTTACAACCATAGAACTGAGGATATGTGACGACTATGAGTGTTTAATCGTCTTCATCTTTGCAGGATTGCTAGTATCCAATAAAAACACCAATTGAGTACTTTCGAGATAAGCTGGCATTTATTTTTTCGTGAAGGGGATCATAATCCATTGAGTGACCTCATCATGAAGCGTCAGCTGAGGTCGCTCGTATTGAAACTGTTTAAAAGAAATGTAGAGTTGGTCAATTTATGATGTGGCGCCGGATTAAGATGCATGACCGTCTTGAGTTAGCATTATTTGGTGCCTTGCAACACCCTGAATGAGGTTTATGACATTACGCTACTCAGGTTTGTTAGATGATAGCGATAGAGGTATGAAAAACTGAAGCCTACTTCCAACAACAACCCGTCAGTAAAAGACGGTTGGTCGGTATATGTACGGCACGTCCAAGTTACTTGAGTAGTAGTAAAGTGGTCCAATGAGTTAATTTTTTTTATTTGCTTGGGAAGTCGATCAGTCCTGGTTATTCAACGACAGATAAAATCTTGGCGCCGAAAAAAGGCTCAATACACCTTTGACAATTTAGGCCGTTTATGGCGACACCATAACCTCGCCTGGTTAACTAGTTTACTAGTTACTAGCCGGTCCTAAGCCCGGGTAAAGAGGGAAGGTTGGGCATAGGGCTAGCAACCCTACCCCGTAAAACAAATCTAACCGCTAAAGAAACTTCAAAGCACAAACAAAATATAAAAAATGAAAACAAACTTATTCCCCGCTGGAATCGGAGAGGCGAAATGACGCCAGTTGGTGAAAGCCTGCCTTCGGGAAGCCAATTGGCCGATGTGTCTTCTCTCGATGAAAGCGAAAGTAAACGTGGGGACATGGAATGTCCGCACCATGTTTGAACCCAGCAAGGCAGCCCAGATTGCAAACGAGATTAGTAGGTATAACATCGAAGTGCTTGGGATTTGCGAGAGCAGATGGAATGGGAGTGGACTCTCCAAACTGTCAACTGGAGAATCAATAATCTACTCCGGTCACCCAGACGCCAACCACGAGCACACTGAGGGAGTGGCTATCATGATGTCCTCAAGAGCATCGAAGGCTCTCATGCAGTGGGAACCAATCTCCTCATGCAGGATCATGACAGCAAGATTCAACTCAAAAGGAAGAAAGGTCACAATCATACAATGTTATGCACCTACAAATAATGCAGAGCAAGAGAAAAAGAAGGATTTCTACAGACAACTTCAATCAACACTGGACAAGACGTCAGTTGGCGATATCAAAATTCTAATGGGCGACATGAATGCCAAACTGGGAGGGGACAACACGGGAAGAGAACTAACCATGGGTCGAGAGGCGCTAGGTGAAATGAATGAGAATGGAGAATTGTTTGCAGAATTCTGCGCATTCAACGATTTGGTGATTGGAGGCAGTGTTTTCAGGCACAAAGATATCCACAAAGCGACATGGATTTCACCAGATGGACACACTAAAAATCAAATCGACTTTATCTCAATCTCAAGAAAATGGAGACGCAGTCTACTTAACACAAGGTCAAGAAGAGGAGCAGATGTAGGTTCAGACCACTATCTAGTGCAAGGAACCTTCCAAATCAAGTTAAAAGCCTTCAAGGAAGCTGGTGATAGACCTCAACTCAAGTACAACACTCGGAAACTGAAGGATGAAACTACAAAGGAGATCTTCACGGCAGCCATCAAGACAAAATGGGAGACATCGAGCAACATCCCTGAAGAAACCTGTGTGGAAGAACACTGGAAGTCTTTGAAAGCTATGTGGAAAGAAACCTGCACAACAGTATTAGGAAGGAAGAAGAAAGAAGACAAGGAATGGATCTCGACGGATACCTGGAAGCTGATAGAGGAGAGGAGGATGGTGAAGCAGAAGATAAACCAGTGCAAGGATGCTCAACGACAAGAGGAACTGAGCACAATGTATAAAACACTGGACAAAGAAGTGAAGAAGAGTGCACGCAAAGACAAAAGACACTTCTACGAAACACTGGCAAGTGAAGCAGAACAGGCTGCAGGTAAGAGAGACCTGACGACATTGTATCAAATAACCAGGTTGCTATCAGGGAAGAGACCAACACAGATGAAACCAATTAAAGATGAAGAAGGAAATTTAATTACAAAAGAAGAGAAACAGAGGAAACGATGGGCCGACCACTTCAAGAAGCTCTTGAATCGACCACCACCTGCACTTCGTCCAGAAATACCACCTGCAGCCGCTGAACTACAAGTGAACATTAATCCCCCAACGAAAATGGAAGTCCTGAACGCCATAAAGCTACTGAAATGTGGGAAAGCAGCAGGACCAGATGGAATACCGCCAGAAGCACTGAGAACAGATGCAGAGACAACAGCGGACATGCTCACACCACTATTGCAGAAGGTGTGGAAGGAAGAGAAGGTACCTGACGATTGGAAGAAGGGTTACCTTGTCAAACTGCCGAAGAAGGGAGACCTCAGTGCTTGCAAGAACTGGCGCGGAATCACTCTCCTGTCCACCCCAAGTAAAATATTAAGCCGCATCATCCTAGAGAGGCTTAAAGACGCACTGGATTCAAAACTGCG